GGGATTCGAACCCGCCACCTTAGGTGTATGTGGCTGGCGCCTTAGCCACTTGAGCCACAGGCGCCGAGCCAAGAAATTTTTGTTATTATTTCCACAATCTTAGAAACTCTCAATATATGCCCTTATGTCACTTTTCATATATCAGTAGGGTAGTCCAGTTTATTTTAGACCTTTGTAGAATGTCATATAAATGGTCGAAATATCAGTTATGCGGTGGCGCCTATAGCTCAGTGGGTAAGGATGCCAGCCACATATACTGAGGCTGGCAGGTTCAAACCCAGTCTGGGCCGGCTAAAACCACAATGACAACTGCAACAACAAAAAAATAGCCACTCAGTGTGGCGGGGGCCTGTGGTCCCAGCTACTTGGGAGGCTGAGGCAACAGAATTGCTTGAGCCCAAGAGTTTGAGGTTTCCACTCTACCCAGGGCATAGCTTGAGACTCTGTCTTAGAAAAAAAAAGAAAAAGAAAAAGAAATGTCAGTTATGATGCATTCTTTCATTTCCTCAAAGCTGCCTATTCCGATCTGAACATAATACATTCATCTAAAACTTAGTTACCGAGGCTTGACACCTGTAGGTCAGTGATTTGGGCACCGGCCACCTACACTGAGACTGGCAGGTTCGAACCTGGCTGGGGTGTGCTAAACAAAGACAATTGCAATAAAAAAATAGCAAGGCGTTGTGGCGGGTGCCTGTAGTCCAAGCTACTTGGGAAGCTGAGGCAAGAGAATTGCTTAAGCCCAGGAATTTGAGGTTGCTGTGAGCTGTGACACCTCAGTGCTGTACTGAGGGTGACATAATGTGACTCTGTTTCAAAATAAAAAAAAAATAATAAAAATAAAACTTAGTTACTGAGTAATATAAATTGCACACATACTTTATGGACAGCCTATATAATGCTGTTATGCATTATGTAAGTATATATGCCAAGAAAGGGTAAATCTTCACCTTTAATTATCTTGGGCGGTGCCTGTGGCTCAAAGGAGTAGGGCACTGGCCCCATATGTCAGAGGTGGTGGGTTCAAACCCAACCCCGACCAAAAACTGAAAAAAAAAAAGATTATCTCTTTGTGGATGACTTTTTTTTGCATTTTCCTTTTTACCTTATTGTACAAGAAAACAGGTACAAAGACAAAAAATAAAGGTGTAGCTTAATGAGTGAAAATAAGGCAAACATGCTTAAGATCCTCGCAATAGAACTTTACCAGTTACCCCAAAGCTCATTCGTGTGCCTCACCCTGACCGTAACTCCCTCCTCCTCCACAAGACTAACCTCTGTCCTGATCTTTTTTTCTTTTAGTATTTTATTTTTTATTTCAGATTAATAGGAGGATACAAACAATTAGGGTGCAATGTTTGCATTTGTTAGGTAGAGTCCTTGCTGTAATTGTGTCTCCTCTGTCCTGATCTTAATGATAATCATGCCCTTTCATTTCTTCCTAGTTTTATGACCCAACTAGTTTTCTCTAGACAGTTGGTTAATCTTCCGCATTTTTTAAATTTTGAGGGCTGGCTGCAATAGCTCATGCCTGTAATGCTACTCTGGGAGGCTGAAACAGGTGGATTGCCTGAGCTCAGGAGTTCGAGACCAACCTCAGCAAGAGTGAGACCCCCTTCTCTACTGCAAATAGAAAAACTAGCCAGGCATTATGCTGGGCGCCTCTAGTTCCAGCTACTGGGAAGGCTGAGGCAAGATGATCACTCAAACCCAAGAGGTTGAGGTTGTTGTGAACTATGACGCCACAGCACTCTACACAGGAGGACAGAGTGAGACTGTCTCAAAAAACGAAAAATAATTTTTTAAATTTGTCTTTTTAGTATCTTTTAATTTAGAGTTTCCTCTCCTGTACCTTTCTTTTTATTTATAATTTGTTTATTGAATCTAGTCCTTTTGATTTGTTGAGTTCCCTCAGTCTAGATTTTGTTGGTTGTGTACTAATAGTGCATATTTCTTTTTGTATTTTTCTGCAAATTGTAGTTAGATTTGGAGGCTTATTTAGACTAATGTTTGATCCCTCTGCCAGGACCCTTAGTTGTTGGGCTCTTTCTGTAGAATACATGATGTCTAGTTGTTTCTCTTTCTGTGATGTTAGAAGTTATTGGCACTCACTACCTAATTCTGTTAATTTATTAGAGATTATTAAGGTGATATTATAATAATTTCTTTTTCATTTATTACATTACTTTTATAAAGCGCCACTTCCTGTTATCTGTATTTAGTTACCTAGTGGTACATGAACCACAGTTGAGAATATTGACCTGGGGCAGTGCCTGTGGTTCAGTTTGTAGGGCACCTGCCCCATATACCAAGGGTGGAGGGTTTGAACCCAGCCCTGGCCAAACTGCAACAAAAAATAGCCGAGCATTGTGGCGGGCACCTGTAGTCCCAGCTACTCGGGAGGCTGAGGCAGGAGAATCGCCTAAGCCCAAGAGCTGGAGGTTGCTGTGAGCTGTGATAACATAGCACTCTACCGAGGGCGACAAAGTGGGACTCTGTCTCTACAAAAAGAAAAAAAAAGAAGAATATTGACCTGTATAAATGAAAAATTCTTAGATAGACTTAATTTTGAACAGAACCCCTTGGTGCTAAATGGCAGCTTGATCAATCTAGGGAAATTAATTAATACATTTATTTAATGAATACTTATTGAGTGCTTGTCCTGAGCCAAGCATAATGCTGACTATTGGGGTAAAGTGATGAATGGATCAGTGGAGGGGAGGGGACTATGATAATGGCTATGAAAGAGATGTTTAAGGGCAATCTTATTTTTGTTTTATTTTTTTATATATATATATATTTTGAGACAGTCTCACTTTTTCATCCTTGGTAGAATGCTGTGGCATCATAGCTCACAGCAACCTCAAACTCCGGGGCTTAAGCCATTCTCTTTGCCTCAGCTTCCCAAGTAGCGGGGACTACAGGCTCCCACCCGCCCAGCCATAAGTGCAACCTCATTTAGATCTGTGCTTCAAGGAAGGCCTCTTCCTCTTGTTGTTGTTGTTTGTTTGTTTTTGAGACAGAGTGAGTCTTACTGTGTCGCCCTGGGTAGAGTGCCCTGGCGTCACAGCTCACAGCCTCAAACTCTTGGCTTAAGCAATTCTCTTGCCTCAGCCTCCCTTGTAGCTGGGACCACAGGCACCTGCCACAATGCCTAGCTATTTTTTTTTTTGTAGTTGTCATTATTTAGCAGGCCCAGGCCAGGTTCAAATCCGCCAGGCTCCGTGTTTGTGGCTGGCGCCCTAACCACTGAGCTATGGGCACCAAGCCAAGGAAGGCCTGTTTAAAGAAGTGTCATTTAAGGTCGGGTGTGATGGCTCATGCCTGTAATCCTAGCACTCTGGGAGGCTGAGGCGGTGGATTGCTTGAGCTCATGGATTCAGGACCAGCCTGAGGGAGAGTGAGACCCCGTCTCTACTAAAAATCCAAAAAACTGAGGTAAAAGGATCACTTGAGCCCAAGAGTTGAAGGTTGCTGTGAGCTATGCTATCACCATGGCACTCTCCCCAGGGTGACAGCTTGAGACCCTGTCTCAAAAGAAGGCTCAGCACCTATGGCTCAGGTGGCTAAGGTGCCAGCCACATACACCTGAGCTGGCAGGTTCAAATCCAGCCCAAGCCCGCTAAACAATAATGACAGCTGCAACCAAAAAAAAATAGCCAGGCGCTGTGGTGGGCGCCTGTGGTCCCAGCTACTTGGGAGGCTGAGGCAGGAGACTTGCTTGAGCCCAGGAGTTGGAGGTTGCTGTGACCTGTGATGCCACAGCACTCTACCCAGGGGGACAGCTTGAGGCTCTGTCTCAAGAAAAAAAAAAAAAAGAAGTGTCATTTAACTTAAATTAAGAAGTATAAATTAGTTAACCAAAGAGAGATAGTAAGTTTTCAGTCAGAGAGGACATTACATGTCATGGCCTTTTGCTGAGAAAGAGCTTAGCTTACTGAAATATCAAGGGGGGGAAAGACCAGAGTAACTTTAACACTATGATCTAGGGGAAAGGGTTATCTTTAAGGGAAAGATATTGCTTAATAATGTGCTAAGTCCTTATACATAGTGTTAAATATCTTGGGATTTATTTTAGGTGCAACATGGAAAATATTACCCGTAGGCTTATGCTAGATTCTGAACCTCTCTAATGTACATCTCTGCAGGGTAAATAGACTTCTTTAGGATGACGACTCTGCAGATTACTTGGAAAGTAATTATTTCCATTTGTTTCAAGCCTTACTACATAACTGTTCTCAATGTCAGCTATGCAAGTGACGTTTAGATAGAGAAAGAGGTTGAACAGAATTCTAAAAGCTAATCTTTTGACTACATTCAAAGGTGTCTGGAGAAGCCAATGAAATTCAGATTGCAGAAGCTTTGAAGCGGTACAGTGAACGGGCATTCTTCGTCCGAGAAGCTCTGTTTCATCTTTTTAGTCTGACTCATGTGATGGAAAAAACAAAGCCAGAAATTTTAAAGGTAAGAATAAGAACTGGGATATGGAATTTTTGAAATCATCTACCTGCGTAGATGATGATTTTGTGAAGAACAATGTCAAAAATTTGCATTTAGTCTTTGATTTTGACTTATAATGGGATTGATGATGTATTATTTCATTTATAACCATAAATGAGAGAGAAGATAGTTGCATAGTATTATTGAAGTTTTATAGTACTGCATTAAACTACATAAATGCCTTTGGGTACATATTTAACTACCAGTAACCACCATAATATTTTACCACCAGCTGTAGTAGAAAATGGAAGTATATGACTGGAGTTAGGACACTGCCTTGTATATTACCCCTGCATTGCTTCCTGTATAGGGCCTTTGTATAATAGAAATGCAGTAGTAGAGGACAGGTGCGGTGGTCATGCCTATAATCCTAGCACTCTGGGAGATCGAGGTAGGTGGATTGCTTGAGCTCACAAGTTTGAGACCAGCTTAAGCAAAAAGCGACACCCCTTTCTTTCTCTACTAAAAGTAGAAAAACCGAGGCAAGAGGATCGCTTGAATGCAAGAGTTGAAGGTTGCTGTGAGCTATGATACCATGGTACTCTACCCAGGGCGACAGCTTGAGCCTCTGTCTCAAAAAAAAAAAAAGAAAAGAAAAGAAAAAAAAAAAGAAATGCAGTATTAGAATTCCATCATGCACTTTCCATGCTATTTAGAACCTCCTGTGTTTTCATAACTGATCCACATTATTCTTCAATTAAGATTTAATTGTTTTTGTTTTAAAGAGGCAGTGTCTTAACAGTGTTGCCCAGGCTGGAGTGCAATGATAATTTGGCACAGCTGTAGTATACTATAGCCTCACACTCCTGGGCTCAAGCTATCTTCCTTTCTGAGCTTCCCAGGTGACTGCAGGCACATACCATCATACCAAGCTAAGATTATTATTATTATTTTTTTAAGAGACAGTCTCACTTTATTGCCTTCAGTAGAGTGCCGTGGCGTCACACATCACAGCAACCTCCAACTCCTGGGCTTAGGCTATTCTCTTGCTTCAGCCTCCCTAGTAGCTGGGACTACAGGTGTCTGCCACAACGCCCGGGTATTTTTTGTTGCAGTTTGGCCAGGGCAGGGTTCAAACCCACCACCCTCGGGATAGGGCTGGTGCCCTACCCACTGAGCCACAGGCACCACCCCGAGCTAGGATATTTTGAACAAGACAGTTTTTGAAGTACAGAAGGGAAGATTTTTGTTGACTGCTTAAGACAGTGTTTATCAAAATGTGGTCTTTTGCCTGGCACAGTGGCTCACGCCATAATCTCAGCACCATAGGAGTCTAAAGGGGGAGAATTTCTTGAGCTCACAGATTCACGACCAGCCTAAGCCAGCGTGAGACCCTGTCTCTAAAAAATAGCCAGGCATTGTGTGGATGCATGTAGTCTCAGCTATTCAGGAGAGTGAGGCAAGAGAATCATTTGTGCCCAGGAGTTTGAGGTTGTATGAGCTGTGACGCTGTGACACTCTACC